AGTGAATTAATTGATTCAGCGTTTCGACACCTCCGTAAGGATGCATTTAACTCGACAAAGCGGTCTAATATAGGATGTATTGATCTCGTGAATTAGCGAATTTTACTATACAAATATTTTTTAATTGGAAGTTAAAGTTTATATGGGAATATTACATTACACGCTGATCCTTTAACAATGCATTAGCACAAAAAACGCACACCTTTTGGACAAATCTGCCACAAATATTTGGACAAATGTGCCACAAAAGTGCCACAAATACTACCTAAACAAAATACTGATTTTGTGCACTTTATTTACTGTACCAATATTTTAAATTGGCCTTTGAACTTAGCTTTATTGCATGGCAAAAAAAAAGTGTTACCTTGCCAAAGCACTGACAGAGCCCACTGATCTAATGGCGTTGTTGAGCGCTCCAAATGCAAACTTTGCATGCAACAATCAGGCAGCAATTGACAGCACTCTGATCTAGTGGCATACAGGCATCGTCAGATTGACAGTACTCTAGCCCAATAATGTTGGGGGATCCAGTGGGGGCGGCAGTCATATTTCAGGGTGACCGTGCCACTCTTTATCACAACCCTGCTAAAAGTGCCAGTACGTGCGCTCATTGGCGCCCCTTCAGCTGGTGGCGCCCTAGGCGACCGCCTAGCTCACCTATGCCTAGAAATGGCCCTGCTCCATTTAATCTTAGTAGAGATATGAAACAGAGACTTTTGTTTATGGTGTCCTGTGCCAGTAGTTTTCTCTTAAAAATAACACTCTAGTAATAGCACAAGTCTCCTTTAGAGTTTCAGAAGAGATGTCTCAATCTGTGCTCAGTTTTTTCAGAAAAGCAAATCTGAGATTTTAGTATGAACTCAAAAAATAATAAATAACTCACAAATTAGGTACATATCTCAATTGTTTCTCCAACATATTAATTCAGTTAAATGGAGCCCAAATTGAGACTTTTCTTCTTTAGTTTCCTGCCTCTCAGATTTTTTGTAATTTTTAAAAAATATCTAGTATTAAACTGCTCTAAACCAAAGTATCAAGCTGTGCTCTAACATTAGCTAATATGGCAACTATTGTCTCATTTTTATTAAAGTTATGAATTCTCTTGATTTCACCATTTTGTCTCCCAAAATATGAAAGAGCAATAACATTTTCCTCTGGAATCAGTTTTTGCACCTACAGTGAGTTGGATTAGAACTAAATAAAGGAATTGAAAAAGTGGGAGAAAAGTGTTGTTGAGGGGGAGATGGATGAAAAAGTGTAGTTAGCGAAGAATTCAGGAACAACTGTGGGATTAGGTGGCACAGGCCAAGTCAGTGGGATTATGGGTGAAAAGGTCCTAGTCTTAATTGGTGCAGATGACAGGCCGGCCGTCCCATAGAGCAAACAAACGACATGTCAGCCATGCTTGAGTGGACACAGGCTCTCTGTATCTGCTTGTCCACAGGAATGTGCATGTTCCAATTTCTCTCCGCATATTCCCTTTTCTCCTTTCCTCTCTTTTTCAGTCTATACCTCATCATTGTCCTCTTTCACCCTTTTTCACCTTCTTTTTTCTTGGGATGTGAAGTGAATGAACTGAGAAGGGAAAAACGATCTCCTCTGTAATTTTTTATTTTTTTTTGTAGTCTAGGATTTTTAATAGATGTTGTGTCGAGCTGAAAGTGAACACACACTTGAGTGGTTGAGGGGGAAAAATCCCTAAAGAAACAAAGCTAACTGTTGTTTTGTTACACCCCTCCTCTGGAGAATCAAGCACACCAAACTTGAATAGCTGTGTTGTAAATCCCAGACAGCTACCTACATATTCATCTTGTTACCTACTCCTGTCACTTAGAAAACAGTTAGTAATGTTTTTTTGGGTAACACTTTACAATAAGGTTCCATTAGTTAATGTTAGTTAATGTATTAACTAACATGACCAAACAATGAACAATACATTTCTTAATTCATGTTAACTAAAGTAGTTAACTAATGAACCTTATTGTAAAGTGTCACCGTTTTTGTGTTGTTTTTAGACGGACTAAACCAGGCTAATTTGAACATTATAACCTTTTACCTTTTTAAAACTTTTTAATAGTTGTCCATATTATTTAATGTAATATATGGAATTGGAAAGTTGGTAAAACACACAGTCATGTTTAGTGCATGAACTGATTAATTGATTGTTTTTAATTGTGTGTTATTTGTTAAAGATGTTTATTTTTGTTAATTTAAAAGTTTTTTTCCCTCCCACCACTGACCTCTTCCTTACATGACCCATCAGGTATCCTGTCTTGATGAGGTACTGAGGAATGCGCTGTTGTCATGGAAACCCAGTCCCAGACCAGTTCTGCAGCAGAGAAGAAGAAGAAAGTGGAGACCATCATAGCCACCAAGAGCGCACCCACCTGCGCAGACATTAGTGAGAAGGCTGTGGCCTCCAGCACTACCTCCAATGGTACAGCTTCAACACTTTAACCTCTTCTCTTTAATCTCTTCTCTTACTTGTCAAGCTTAATTTTCTATTCTCTACTGATTCTGTCTGTTTGAATTGTTTAAAAGTGAAGCGTGTAATTTTTTGGATTTTAAAGTACTATTCAAGTAACGCTCAAACATTGCCCTGTTTTGTTGAGAATCTCGACCAGCTCGACACAGCAACAGTTGCACCAATGTTGTAAGTTGGGGGTGGGGATATCTGTTTGGCTGACCAGTTGCAGTGTGTGGGAAACCTGTTAGAAACACTCATTATTTTTGCAATTCTGTTATTTGCAAAATACATTCATTTCAGATAAAACAAAATGCACTTTTACTAACTGGCGATTCACAATTTTACTTTAAAAGTGCCTCAAAACTTTCAAGCAGCATCATAATATAATTTTACAGAAATGTTGCATATTTTTTTTCAACAACAACAACAAAAACTACTAGAAACTATAAACCAACGGCTTGGATTAGTTAAAAATCTCATACACCTTAAAATGGTATTAGCATTAGTGTTGTAACAAACATTTTTCTTCTGCACACAAAAAGTTGCACAAATGTTGTGTGGGTGTTTGTCTTGGTTGATTAGTGATCTTATTTTTTGTACCACTCCATATGAAAGCCTCTGGTGATATGGCAGGAATTCAGAAAAAGAAAGTCCTTTTTTTTTGTGGAACAGGGCATCGTTAATTGCTGTTATGAGTTCTGTGTCCCCCCCCCCCCCCCCCCCCCCTTTTTTTTTTTTCCCGC